ACACACACACACACACACACACTCACACACACACACACACAAATCAAAACAAATATAAACATAAGCAAGTTCCTATTTGCGCTTTTCCCACTTTCCTCAACGAAAGACAAAAAACAACAACAAAACAGTCCAACTTTCATTTGTCTTTTGTTTGAACACTGTTTTGTATTTGTTCCATTTTTACATTTGGAAGGAAAGTGGAGTAGAAGACAGGGTGGTACCCCATCAGTCACATTACATTAGATATCTCCCCATTCAAATTACTACAACAACAACAACAACAAAATGATAAAGTAGACTGCATGTGTAGATAGATCTCAATACTGATAGTGATAGTGTATAATTTTTTTAAAAAATATATTTTTGGTGGAAAAATACAAGCCATTAACCTCTCAATGAAATTATATATAAATGCTCCTTCAACTCCCCTTTCTTGTATTGAAACTAGTTTCTGGTATTATAGGGTGCTTCTTGTATTCAAGCAGTCAGTTCATTTGAAATCAGTAAACCAACACGCAGGGCAACAATGAGAAAGAAAAGTATCAGAAAGTTTCCAAAAAAAGATTCACCACTTTATAAACACCACCATCTCTATTTGCAACAACTGTCAGTAAGAAGTGATTTAATTTGTTTGTGCTTTTCCCCCTTCAAATCTGACTTGTTTTTATAAAAATCAAGTTTAGCCATTTGTTATAATTCTGAAGCCTCTGTGTATGTACATACCACTCACATGAATCTGCATTTTCATTTGTCATAATCTTACTTTTACGCCAAATTTCAAAGAAAACATTAATACAGTTGTGAAAGTCAAGTTGTCTGCTGTTTAGTGTTGTATTTTCTTTTACTTTCTCAGTCACAGCACTATAATAATTAAAGATAGAAAGATAATAAAAAAAAAAAATTAAAGCATTATAATAGTACAAATGAAAACCATGTATCACTGGGACAAAAGACAATGTAGATCATCCCATAATGAGAATTTGACCTGCTCACTCTTTTATGGAATTTCAGCAATAGTACATACATATAATGTATAACATATTGAGGGGTTCTGATTGGTCTCCCTAGCTACCAATTGTTTTAGGACATGATAAACTAAGGCAATTATGAAGCCAAAGATGAGAAAAAGAAAAATACTTGACATATGAATACATTCTTTGGTGTCTTTGTCATGGGCATGTTGTTATGTAAGTATGTGAGAATTTGTGTGAGTGAGCGTGTATAAATGTGTGTGTGTGTGTGAGTGAGTATGTGTGTGAGTATGTGTGTGAGTGTGTGTGAGTGAGTGTGTGTGTGTATGTGTGAGAGTGAGAGAAAGAGAACAGACCCAGAGAGAGAGAGAGTGAGAGAGAGAAAGAGAGAGAAAGAGAGAGAAAGAGAGAGACCAAGTGAATTTAATGCAATGTGTGTGTTCATAGTATGAACCTGAGTGGGTCACTGGGTTTTTTTCAGTGGGCTTTAATTTTAGGAACAGGTAACTCTTGCAGATTATCTTATAACTAGTGAGGCTTCTGAAATAATTGTCAACAATAATTTGTATAACAATAAAAAAGGAAATAATGGAATCCCATGTAAAACATTTTGGCCCCCCCACCCCACCCCACCCCTACCCCTCAAACAAACAACTACCCCCCAAATCATAAAAAACAACCCAGTGCATCTAACATCAAGAACCATAATTCTTGCACACACAGAAAAAGGAGAGAGAAAAAAGCAGCAAATAAGAAAAGAAATTGCAGGCAAAGAATAAGGAAGAAAAAAAAACTAGTTTTCCAAGAATTAAAGAGAAACACAAAAGCACAGATTAATATATTGCATTGTTTCATTAGGGGAATGCAAAAGAACACAGACACAAGATAAAAACAGTGGAGCATTTAGAGAAACTGTGACAAGACTTAAAGTAAAGTAACAACAGCAGCAGCAAGAACAACAACAACAATTAGAAATATAATAATAATAATAATAATAATAATAATAATAATAATAATAATAATATAATAATAATAATAATAATAATAATAATAATAATAATAATAATAATAATAATAATAATAATAATAATAATAATAATTGACAAGATTCCAAGTACAAGTGATTGCATACTTTTTAGTCAGTTGACCACCAAGGCTGCATATAGTAGTGAATTTACCCTGGCATTCCAGTAAGCTTATTGAGTGAAATTAATGTAGCCTAATATGAAATTTGTAGAGACAAGGACTCAGACTGTATTTACAACAAATGTGTCAGTAAAATATGGATGGGTTGGAAAGGGGAGGAAAGGGGAGAAAAGGCTGTTCGAAGAAGGAAAAAAAAAGACCCAACAAAACCTTTGGCTGTAGTCTAGATCTAGAATCTAGATCGAAAACAAAAAGGCAAACCAGTCATCTGACACTGGCCAAAGTGAAAAGACACCAGCTCAGCTATGGAATTGAAACTGAGTTCACATTGCTCTAAAAATAACACTAGGTATAATAGACCTAAATCTCGGTGGCTTTAATATCATATAGATCTAGATTCTCTATATAGATCTAGATCTAGACCTGGAAGTTTTTCTGTACACACTTTCATAGCCAAAAAATAGAAAAATAAAAACAAACAAAAACAAACAAAAACGTGCGTGTGAACGTGTTTAAAAGTTACAGGGTGCAGAGAAAGAGGGTAACACTAGGTTACGATATTACTTAAGCCGTCTGTTTGCCCCACCTATCCCCAGTCTTAGCTTGCGAAATTCCAGAACACCTAACTCAATCGCTCACTCTGCTCGCGCATAGTGGGTTACTGGCACAGTCAGGGGCCTACAGTCATGTGATTTACCGAAAGGTAGCGATACACTGCACGTTCGTTGTAACCTACTTCAGTACAAGTGTTCAAACGTTTATCTCATGAGCTGTACATTGAGAGGATTAAACCAGGAGTACTGACAACATGTTGTACTAGAATCTAGACCTTTGGACAACAAAAGTTTGTTTCAAGGGAACTAAAATATATGGGGCATGAGAAACAGAAGAGAACAAGTTTTTCAACATTGGAGCTTGACGCAATCTGCGTCTGACCAAAGAAGGAAGCGGGCTAGTCTGGGTCTAGCCTAGGCCTAAGGGTTGCGCGATGAAGTTACAACTCGAGAACAAGCAACCTCTCGTCTTGGTGGGTGCACGGTAACAGAAACAACATCGCTGACAGCTTTCATTCACCCATTTGTTGTCAATATCTGTTGTTTCCTATCGATTTTTTTTTTTTTAGATCATCGGTCATACTGAAGTGCTTAAAAGTTTCTAAAGTAACACCAGTAGTTGAAAATCTAGAAAATCTAGAGAAAAAAAGAGGAGACCAAAAGTTTAGGTTGATCACGATGAAAGCTTTTGGTCAGTGATAAGACCATAAATGGCGACCAAAGGACATTCGATGTGAAGAGAACGGTAAAAAAAAATTCGCGACTAAAAAAACAACAACAAAAGAACTGAATCCAGGTCCGTTACCACAGTAGGCTAGATCTATACAGGCATATTATAAACAACACCTCGGAATTCATAATAGTGATTACAAAAATGAAACACTTACGCGAATCCAGCGTTTTCCGCTGCTGAGGTCTGCCTTGTTTTCGGCGTGACATCTCTCAGGACTCTTCATCAAAACATTGGTCCCCGTTAGCCGTCATTCGGACAAAGAAGAAAAAACAACAAAGATGGCGTCAGTCCACTCGGTAGTCCACACTAATGAATGTTTGCTTTTCCACAGGCACTTCTGAATCCTCTGAATATTCAATTATTCCACCCTAGTCGTTGTATGGTACTCACAAGGCCCTTAATAGCCGCGGGTCATCTCAGGCCAACCGTCGTGTCCAGTGAGGAAGTGACCAGTGGGCGTGTGACCAGTCGCGACTCTCGCGAGATAAGAGGCTTGAGGGCAGGAGATTGGCCTGATTGGATCAATCGGATGAATGGGGCGCTAAGTCAACTGACCTCTTCCCCGTCACAACAATAAAAGGCGATAACTCGTCTAAACACAATCATAACAAGAACACCGTACTGTTTCCGCGTTTCTTCTACTCCTGTTCTTAGCGGCTCGCATTCGACCACTGGTAGCGTGCGGCCTGTGTGCTCTCAGTCCGGGTCGGGGAGCGTTGGTCTGTGTGGCCGGCGGGTTGCCAAGCGTGGCTAACTAACGCCTCACACGGATCAGGTGTTTTGCTGTTACGAGGATAACAGTTAAAAAATAAACGTTCTGCCCTAGCGTGTAGTAGGATCGCCCGCTAGTGTGTTGTGTAGCCGTCACGCCTCTCCGTGGCAGGCGGTCAATCAAGTCAGTGGCTCGCACTTTGTGCTGCAATCTAGTGACCTCACCGGCCGGCGCAACCTACTTTTATGGAGGGGTGTTTAGGCCTGCAACTTAATAGGACTTTTCCCCGGTTTATTTCTTTTCGCCCGCTAGGCTAGCCTTTTCTTGTGCGATTGCGTGAGTGCGAGAGAAGTGGATTACAACACGTGTTTCTGAAGTGATGAATCGCGACCAAAGGCTCAAGAGAGCATTGTTTTTCAACACCTTGAGCTTTAGCGAACCGAAAAAAATTCTTCCAAGGTTACCTACATCCGCACCTGTATTCAGAAACTTGGCAGAAAGGTAAACTGATAGAACACGAATCCTTTGTTTCTTATCACAACAGGCAAAAGACCACAACTAAACAAAGGTGATGTTTAATACACGATTAACGTACGAGAGAAACAAACCGATGGTACATTTGAAGAAAAGACTTTCCCAAATGGAGTAAACATGTCTTTTCTAACAAACTATTTTCATCCACAAAGAACACAGTTCTAATGGACAGGACATAGTAAACCAACGATATCCAGCATTGGGAATCACATAACAACACTCATAAAAGTACATTACACAATTCTTTTTGAAAACATAGACATCCCCAGTTGAATAAGAATTTGTTTCCTTATTCTTTTTATGTTTCTTTCTTTATAACTTGGCCTTAACTCGGACCGTTGACCTGGCGAGGTCAGGCCTATCAATCAATGGAGCGAGCAAACTAGGGCAGTAGTATCGGGTCAGCTGAGGTGAGCCGAGCGGTAAGCAACGCGGGCCACGACTGGCTGAAGCGGCCACTAGGGGTGGAGCCCGCGCGAGCCGCATTGGCCAGCGTGGCTGGCTGTCTGTCCGCGCGGGGCCACGCAAGGGATGAAGTGGTACTACGGGTGTTGGTGCTGGCGAGAAACAGAAAGAAAAAGAAGTTGCTTGCGAGAAGGGAGGGGGGAGAGGGCTTGAGGGAGGGAGGGGGAGTGAGAGGGAAGCGAGCGTGACCGATCTTTATGCTCCGCGCGCTACTTAACGTTTGAGGGGAAGTAACTTGCAATACATAGTTAGCTAGGAAGCTCTGCGATTAAATATTGAGAGGCGCGCGAGAGGAAACACTTGAAATAGAAGGAGAGGAATAAAACAAAGCAGTTGGCTTGTCTCTTTTTTAAAAACAATTTTCTTGTCTTCATTCCGCCACAGCTATATTATGCTGTCGTAAAGGTGCAGACAGCAGGCAACATAAAGGCCTTTGGAATATCGTTTTGTCAAAAGTATGATAAATCTACTGTTGTGATCAGTGTTCTATTCCATATATAGCCGTGGCCTGTCAGTTATCTTTTGTATCAACGTCGCACCTTTTCGAAACTGAAATAATGGCTATAAGCATTAAAATATAAACACTGATACTTAAATAATCCTTTTCAAGATTTTAAGTGGGTACCTACATCGATACCCCTTAGTTTTTCTATCTTTTCAATTTTATTCTGGTAAATTGTAAACATTCAAAATCCGAAGTTCCGCACACTTTTAATTTCCTTTAAATGTTGATGTTTAAAATTGTGTTTGCGGTTTTTACACTGATTTTTTTTTCAAAGCGTGGTAAACATTTGAAACTCTTTAGGAGACATAGATTTATTTTATTATTTTATTATCTATTACCTTTTTGGGAAGACAAATGGGAGTCGGGGGTGGGGGGGCGTAAACCAATTAGTGTACTTTTTGAGGCCTGTTTAAAAGCACAATTTAAAAATAGATGTTGGGGGAGGTAATACTTCCAACACAAATTAGTTGTATTCCCTCTTGCCTGGCTCACCCTTCCCCTCTCCCG